GACTGAAGCGATGGTCGGCGAATTATATGAGTGGTAGGCAATCATCAGTAATCTTCAGAGATCAAACCTCGAAACCTAGAAGAATAAAACAAGGGGTTCCACAAGGTGGTGTTCTCTCCCCCTTACTTTTTAACTTATATATCTCGAAACTCCCCCAGCCACCTGAAGGAGTTTCCCTGATCTCCTACGCTGATGACTGTTCGATTTTGGCGTCTGGGAATGGAATTGATGACCTCTGCTCAAAAGTAAACGGCTATCTCTCCAGCCTTTCTCGCTTCTTCACTGCAAGGAGCCTAACCCTCTCCCCAACGAAATCAACGGCGACCACCTGGACGAAGGAGGTCAGGCTTGAATTAGGCATTCACGTCGACGGCACACCAATACCGACGGTGAACAACCCGAAAATTTTAGGGGTTACCTTTGATAGCCTGCTCTCTTTCTCCGCGCACGCAACCGCAGTTGTCAACAAAGTACAGAGCCGCAACAAGGTCCTCAAGTCGCTCGCCGGCAGCACTTGGGGCAAAGACAAAGAAACGTTGTTGGCAACATACAAGGCAATTGGCCGGCCGGTTCTAAATTATGTTGCGCCAGTTTGGACGCCGGGGACTAGTTGGACGCAGTGGACGAAGCTACAGACTTGTCAGAACGCCGCACTCCGGACAGCGACCGGGTGCCTTCTGATGACGCCTGGGCATCACCTACACAGTGAGGCCCAAGTGCTCCCCGTAAGGGAACACAACAAGATGCTCTGTAAGCAGTTTCTTGTGGGGTGTCACAGAAGTGAACACCCCAACAGACCACTGCTGGAGGAGGAGCCTCCGCCCAGGCACGTCAGGGGGCACCTATTCATGTACAAGGACGCAGTCCAGACCTACACAGACCAACCACTGGACCCAATGACGTACAGACGAGCGATTAACGACATTCATAGGGAGTCTGTCTCCACCTACCTCGACTCCCGGCCTAGGAATGTCGTTATCGGAGCCCAATCACCACCTGTGGAAGAGACGGAGCTTCAGTTACCTAGAGAGACCCGCGTTACCCTGGCTCAGTTACGGTCTGGATATTGTAGCCGCCTAAACAGCTACCTGTCCAGACTCGACCCAAACATCCCAAATGAATGCCCGGCATGTGGAGACTCCCCCCACGACACCAACCACCTCTTCACATGCCAGCTCAATCCGACTCAACTAACACCTCTCTCCCTTTGGTCCGACCCCATCGAAACAGCTCGTTTCCTGGGCCTACCGTTAGTTGTGCTTGACGATAATGATTAAAAGTTGACCCGAAACAGGCGGGGCTTAGTAGTGCCGCTACAACAACAACAACAACAGACGGCACAAAACACAGCACTTAGGACAGCGACTGGATGCCTCCTGATGTCACCAGAACACCACCTCCACGATGAGGCGAAAATGCTCCCAATTAGGGAGCACAACACGATGCTCTGCAAGCAGTTTCTGGTCGGGAGCCACAGATGTGGCCAACCAAATCGACAGATGCTTGCAGAGGAGCCCTCGCCGAGGCACGTAAGGGGGCATCTATATGAACTGACGGTTCATTAAGCAGCCTCTGGACCCGTCAGCTTACAGACAGGCCCTGAACGGCATTCACAGGGACGCAGTCTCGAGTTATGTAGACTCAAGACCTGCGAATGCCGTTCTAGGCACACAAACACCGGACATTGACGCGACGTAGCCCCATCTGCCTCGGGAGACCAGAATAACAATAGCCCAACTTCGCTCTGGCTACTGCAGCAGGCTAAACTCCTACCTGAGTAGGCTAAATGCGGATGTGCCGAACGAATGTCAGGCATGCGGAGAGACGGGCGGGGTTGCCGTAGGCGCTACAACAACAACAACATGACATACCACCAACTCATAATGTCACCATCTTCCTCCCATGGAGCATAGACTGGGGCCAGGACTACACTGGGTCTCCTGAGAGCTCAGAACGAGAGCCTCAATACATCACTATGGAGAGCCATAGAGGCAAAAGTTGAGGACGGCTACCTACGGCTGAATGTGTCTGAAGAAAGCAAAGCTCTAGGCTCATCTGCAGGTACGGAAACGTCCTGGTTAATCCATGGAAGCAGAGAACTCCTGGGGATACTGCCCATACGCCATCAACAGGTGAGGCATCAGCAGATATAGCAATGGTCATCGATGAGCACCGCGTAGAAGGGCCTTCGACCTCCGCGGCTACCTCAGCGATAGCAAGCGATATAAAAAAGGTTGTCCACGGGCACTGCTTGGAAGGGTCTTCGACCTCCGCGGCTATCACCGCGACGACAGAGACAAAAGAACGAGTAGCTCAACAAGATGTGCCCTCCACCAGGGAGCTGGAGGAGTTGGCGGAAGGCTTGAACCGTCAGAGCCCAGGCAGAGAACCGGAGATTAAGCGCTATCACGCGGTAGCTGCATCTGCAGTTATCGCAAGAAAGTTCATTTCGGAGGATCTGGGCAAGAGCCGTGAGAGTACAAAGGTCAGGTAAAGGGCCTGACGGAGAAGTCTATTAAGGTAAACTGGGACTTATCATGTGATAACCCAAGAGCTTGTGTTATGTTAAAGAAGGAGACTAATTACTTCTGCGTTTCAGATTTTCTAACTAAAGATCGGGTGGCAATCCAAATAACAATGAATCTCCACAGGCGGGCAAGAGAAGTAATTTTTGATTCGGCCTACTTCGAAGAGGATGCCGCCATACCACTGGAGGAAATCAGAGGACTGGTTGAGTACAGTGAGAAGCTGCGCCTCCCATTGGTCATTGGACATGATGGCAACGCACATAACTGTCAGTGGGGCAGCACTGACACCAATAAAAGAGGTGAGCTTCTACTAGACTTTATATTAAGTAAGGACCTTAGTATCGGCTATATAGGTTGTAAGCCTGGATATTAGTTCTGGATATTACTCTTGGGAACACCTGGGCTGATAATTTAATCTCCGCCTGGAGGGTTTCCTCAGAGCCCTCGATGTCGGATCACAGGATCATACAGTTTTCCCTAGAGATCTCCATGAATAGAGGCATGCTAGGAAGACCGACTAGGGCAGCTATCACAGACTATAACAGGCAAACCCAAGCACCACAAACGTATCGCGCACCACGATCTTTGGCATTCAAGTCTTTCGAATGATCGTAGGGAGACACATTTGGCACAGCAGATGTCGATTCGACATTCTGCACAATGAACGACGACGCACCCACCAGGATTACGGGCAGCTGCTGCAGCTCGCCAGACCTAACAATTGTCAGCGCTGGCAGCGTATCATGGCGACCTATGCTGACCTTAGCATCAGACCATATGCTCATAGTCATTTCGATTTATATACCTGCCGACTGTGCTTCCGCGGATAACCA